ATTTAAATTAATTCATTCGTAATGTAATCAACACCCCACTTTACAGCGAATTTCAACATAGTCTCCCTCAAGAGACATATATTCATCCAATATTCCTCTAACATTTCTTCATAAAATGATTTATCATTGATCTTGAAAAAAAGCTTAATTTCGGTCATTTCAAACCCTTTTTTTAAGTATTATATTCCGACCGGCAAACAGGTAATAGTTGCTGAACTTGGAGAGTATTTGGATCTACTAGACGCGGAAGTAATTCGAAAAGTTATTCGTGTTCTGATATGGCGCATTGTCCTAGTGAAAACAGAATTCTTCATTTCCTTATTTTCAATTTTCAAATAGAAAAACATTTTCATGCAACATTCTCTATTGATTGTTAGACCTCCTTCAAGGTAACATAAAGAGGTTTTTATGCGTTTCGAAAAATAAGGAGATTAAAACCTAACTAATGGAGAATTGTGTTTTTGGTCGCTTTGAATGACTTTCACCGATTGCTGTGAATCGACACTCAGATGACTGCAAATTTTTCTTTGAAGAGTAGTGAACATTTTTAAACACTGAAAATCATTTTTATTCCGCTGCAATAACCAATAACCGTAACCAATGCTTGAAATCAACAATACTTTAGTTACTGTTCACTGTAAGTAATCTTTTGCATTATTAAATGTTCCTACGAACTATGGTTATATTTCAATCTGGTATATTAAAAAGATCAATTGTCTCTCTAAACTTAAATTTACGACCATACAAATTATATTGTATACACTTTTGATATTATCTGAAGTAGCTACCAAATTTAGGCGTCCAAAACTTTTAAATTATCGATATCTGTTTGATCATGTTTGAATTCCTCAAACTACCGATAAACAATTGAATTCGACAAAGCATTTCCTGGGTCTTTACTGGATTTGCCTTCATTGTTATAATGCTTTAAAAATTATAAAAATAGCAATACTAAAACAACTGCAAGATGTCAATGGAATATTATATTGATGCTTTTTGGCGAACTTTAAAATAAACGTTGACTTATGGGATGTTACCGTAAATATCATATCAAAATATTTAAAAAGATTTGGAATGTTTAACGAAGTACACTCACTCAGAAGTCTGCTAGTGGCTGGCGACTATATACATGGACACTACTATGACGTCAATTATGACAGCCTGCAAATCAGACGAAGAACCACCATTTCTAATAAGTGCTACTATGGGCTCAGTAGACTCTCTCTGTCTCTCTCTCTCTCGACAAACAAAATTTACGCTCTATAGGTTGCTCATCCTTCCTGTGCTTTTGTAGGGCTAGGAAGCATGGACGTTATCACAGAATGATGAAGCAGCGATAAAAATTTTCGAGAGTTGGCGATGAGTACCGCATCCGAATGAACCACGAGCTATACGAGTTTTATAACGACATTGTTATAATTTAGCGAGAATGATCTAACTACTTACTCAACCGATAGTATATGATATAATAAGATATGACAAGATTGTACGAAATAAAAAGCAAAGTCATTTATAAAAATTAGCGAATTATCTGCAGTATAAGAAACAATGGATATAAGAATTAGCGATAGTGTAAGAATATATGAAATAAAAGAACAAGAACAAACTTTTCAAACAAACTTTGAATTTTACAAAAATTAAACATATTGAAAATATTGTAAATATAATGTTGATGTAAACTTTTGTATAAAAAACGTAATTATACGTCAATAATTTCGAATATATAATATATGTGCTGCAGCTGGTTTCAATGAAACGTTAAATGAAGGTCCAATTTTTCAAGCAGTCGAGACAGTAATAATACTGCAATAATCCTGTGAATATCAGTTTTTAAATGGTTCCATGTTTCTGATTTATATGAACATACCAGCGTCAAAGACGAACAAATAATAAAATTAAAGATCTGCTTAGAAACGAAAATATAATGAGATACATTAAGTCGCAAAGGTTACAATGGGCTGCTCATGTAATAAGAATGGGGTCGGAGAGAAAGTCGAACAGCATATTCAATGCAAAGCCGATGACAACCAGGCACAGAGGTAGGCTAAGAAAAATATGGGATATACGTGTATGGTGATGCAAGAACGATTGGAGTACTGAACTGGAAGAGAGTAGCAGAAGATAGAGACAGATGGAGGCAGATCGTAAGGGAGGCCAAGGTTCATATTGGACTGTAGTGCCAAATAAGAAGAATGAACATACCTGTGACTTCACACATCTTCTGAGATAATAATCTGGAGTAATAATCTTACACGATCATGGAAATCAACTCACAGAACAATTACTATACATGAAACTATGCGCTCATTGATTGTTCTCCGCAAAATTCTTCAGTTTGTATGTAGACTTTTTTCGAGTTAATAAAAAATGTAAGTTGAAATATTGTGCTCAGTCTATTGATGGTAATATTTAGATAGAATAATAGATAATAAATAGAGTATTCTTTCTATATGTTAACATTACATTGACAATTATGTATATTATTTCCTTACAGCAGAACTTGAAAAAGCTTTAAATTATATTGTAGTTCTTTATCAGGTTTTATGGTAACTAATTTTCGATAATATATTTCAAAAATTTTATAAAACAGTGAAGTTATTTTATTTTACAAAAACAAAAATTATTATTTTTTTTTTTTGCCTAAACCACATGTGTCTACAACATTAAAATAAATTCCGGTACACAGACACCTGTTGAATTCCTAAAATTCTAGTCAAACACCACTTAACACCACTCACTCCATAGAACTGTTTTTTATGGAGAACGAGTACGTAAAAAGAGTTTGAAATGTTGATAACCAGACAAAACAGTTGCTGTCAACCAATGTGCATTGCTGGTGCATTGTTGGTGCATTTGTCAACAACAGTAAAAAACAACAGCAACGTTAACAAATAACTCTGCATTCCAGACATTCTTCAACGGTTTTCATATTCAAATGCTAAGTCAGCCTCATTAGACCCAGACGCATCACAATTAATTGAATAACAGAAATACGCACTTCACAACAACAACTTCAGTCACAACAACTTTGGTTACAACAAAAGTGCGTTGCCTTTGATATCGAAATGGAATGGAATGTTATGCAGTACCGAAGTAAAGTAAGGTAAGGTAAGGTAAGGCAAGGCATTATGCTATGCTAGCAATGATAAGTGGCATATTCAGATCGCAATCTTGTGTCATTTAATGCCTCAGGCAAGATTTGTTGACGTTTTATGCAGTTGCTTTATTAATTTATTAAATAGTTTTTACAAAATGATTTATGTGAAAATATTATATGATATATTTAATATCTCTACTGAAGCGTTTTTTTATAAATTTTTTATTAATATTTAATAGATCTTATTTATTGCATCTAGAAAAAATAAAAATATAAATTTTATTACCGATTTTTGGCAAATTTGGCAGGACACGAGTTCGAATCCTAGTATTTGCAGTCTCAAAAAATTATTTACAAATAATTAAATATAAGAATTATTATTGAAGATAAAGAAAGTGGTTTAAAAAAAAAAATTAAAAATTTTCGTTATTTCTTGCACACACCTCGTATAACAAATCATTAGATAAAATAGATGGATTTAAAGCATCTGCACTCAAAAATTAAATTTAAACCAATATATTATAACTTCCGAACTTGCTACAAAATAAGCAACAAAGCAATTGAAATACACCAAGTCTGTGAATTAAGGAAACCTTTATTGGAAGGTTTTATATTATTGTTAGATGTGCTTTGTCAAGAGCATAAACTTGTTTCCTAGAATCTCCAACTATTTCTATCTCTACCAATATGAAGTAATTCGTTCAAGAATTTGCGGGTTTCATTTGCTATCGTTCATTCCCAAGTGTTACATAGCCTTCCTCTTTGACTGTTTCCTTGGGGGTTCCATTGAAGTGTTTCGTGGCATATTTCGGTATACAGGTTTCAAAAAGCCATATATATTTCCGACGCTTAACTTGTTTGTTGATATCTTCTTGGTTTGTTCGCTAAAGTAGTTCCATATTTGATATTCTACGTGGCCACCAAATTCTCAAAATATTACGCAGGCATCCGTTGGTAGAGTTTTGAAGTTTCTTTTGTTTTTCACTGTTGACCAACCAAGTTTCTGATCCATACAAAAACACGTTTTTTACAAAAGGACGTATACGCATATAAACATGGATTATTGTTTGAGGGAATGTTTCATTTGAATTCCATACACTACGAAGATTAGATTACTGAACGCTATTCTGGCTTTTGATATTCTGCTATCTACATCTCTTACTGCACTGCCATGTGTATTAAAGTAGCTGCCCAAATAGCAGAACTCATCGACATTACTCGATGGATGTTTCTTATTTTGAAAGGAGTTGTTGATGTACTCTTGGCGATGCATATTTTGGTTTTAGCAACATTAAGACGTAGTCTAACCTTAGCCGTGATTTTTACTAGATCGTTGATTTTTGCTTGTAACTGTTCTCTTTTCGAAGAGACGTGCACTATGGCGTCAGTGTAGTCCAAATCTCCAAGGTGTTGATTAACTTTTCAACTATCCTACTCTTTTCATATGCTACTATTTTGAGAACTGCATAAAGAGTAATTACAAATATCAGCGGTGAAACATATGGATGTACCTCCAGCTCTGCTTATGTCATAAAAGCCAATTCCTACCTTTATGAGGTGATGGGAGACAGATATTTGTATAGGTTTTAGTAAGTGTTTGTGGTTTATTGAGATAAACCAATATTTAAACTAACATCACATTAAAAAGAGCCCATTGGTATTATTTTGGATGATATTACATCTACTACTAGGAATATGAAATTTACTTTAAATAAATTTGATTTTTTAACTTTAGAAGATATAATGTGTTAAAGACAGTTCAATAAATTACTACTCCATTAACACTTTGCAAGATTTTAAGATTAAAAAAAAAAATTTTGGAATTTCATGTCAACTTTTTCGGTAAATTAATTTAAGTAACTTTCGTATTAATATAAAATCATTTCAAAATATGCACAAAAAATAATATCAATTTAATATTTCCGGTTTTCTCAGGGAATCAAAATTCAAAATTAAACATGGAACCAGATAAGATCAATGTTTTGTTATTACTGCTATATTATGTAGTAATGACGATCGTTTTAAAAATAGAATATTTTTTCTTTTATTACATATACATAAGAAATTGTAAACGAGAGAAAATGTATCCTGATACTGTCAATTTATACCAACAACCAAACCATGTTGAAACTAATACACATATTGATAACATCCCGAAAAAATATATCAACGATCAAACAAGTCCACAGATTAGAGAAGTTGAAAATCCTGCAGAACACTCTGAAAAAACATTAAATACTCTTAATTCTGAAATGGAAGAATTATCAGCTGCCATTGCAAGCTGGATAGAAGCTCCTAACTAAGTACCTAGTAAATTTTAAGAGAATAATTAAAATCACTACATTTAAAATTCTAAATAGGAACATATAGATCTAATGGAAGTATTGTGACTCAATACTAGGTCGTGAATATTGGATAAAAATTATTATTAATTTTGTCACAGATTTGGATTAAATTTAAAACAAAATTTAAGAAGTGGAACACCATAAAATCATGAGCGGTAAATATCTTTTCTTAAATAATTATACTTATAGTATATTCTTTTTATTAATTGCATGTTTTATATAAAATTATTTTTATTAAAGAATTTCATTTGAATAACAGAATGTCCACAGAATTGAAAATATATATAAATAATACAACTAACTATCTTATACAACTATCATATATAGTCTTTGATTGAAATCGAAGAAAAATGTTTATAAATAATACAACAAGTTCTAATTTATTATCTATGGCAACATACTGTAAATATCTTATACCTTACCCATGCAGATAAATAAGAAGATAAAATAAGATCTGGACATCATTGCTATTATGAAATAACTTTCAAATATAAGTAACTATATCTCTAGAAAAAACACCATACCCTGGTATGTTACATTTAAAATTTTCTTTTCTAACTCAGTGTAACTAATTTTAATTCTTTAGTTTTAGAATTAGTATTATATGAATCTCTAGAGGAATACACTGCGGTAAATATTCTTTGTTCCATAATTGTTATATTTATACACTTATATAAATCCTAATATTTTTAATTTTATAGCAATGGAAATGCAGAAGTATGCGGAGTGCAAATTTTTTGATAAGCAACTACAACAAATATGAACTAATATTATACATAATTAAAGAGCTTTTCTATTTTTTGGTTCTATATAATAGAAAATATATTGACTTTTTTAGAATAAAATTGTTTCAGCAATAAATTTTCAATATCAAAACAGTAATCAGTTTTTTTATATGAATTATCTATTATAAATGGTCATGAACAACAAGTTATCAGTAAGAACAAAAGCATTATCATATCACAAGTAATCAAAAATATAGTGCAGCCTTCCCTATTCATGCATATGGACATAGGTTATATAATAAGTACAATATACTGTTCTAAAAACAGAAGCTCGATAAGTTTGACTTTTATGTCTGTTTTTATCAGTTCAAGGGGTCTTTCAGGTGTTACGGTGCTATAATTCAGGTGCTATAATTTTGTCAAAACTTGACAAAGGATGTGTTGTGCCACATTAATATTAAGTTATATATTTTAAGGTATTTAAACTAATATATTAAATACATATTTATTTATACTTTTATTTAGGTTAGGTTAGGTATATACCGGCGATCACCCCAAAGGATGCACTTGCGCTTATTGGCCCATTGTGTGTTGCAGTATAAAGTACCTTTATATTTTTATTTAATAATTTATTTCTTTATTTAATTATTACTTTTTATTTTTATAAAATTAACTTTGAAATAAGCTATAATAAGTAGCCAGTTATTATTACCATTTAGTAAATAAATAATAAAGTTTGTGAAATTGATACACATTGCAAACAAAAATTCATTTTTTGTATTATCACATAACTCTGGAACGTGACGTAACTATGAGAGGAAAAATAGATAATAAAAATTTGTGACATATTGTTACATTGTGTAAGGAGAAAAAAAGTCTAAAATAACAAAAATATGAGTAACTCAATACTTGAACGACCATCAGAAGACTACTTCCCAAGAATTTTTAGAGTTCTTTGATTTTTATAACATCTTTTCCTAATAACAATCACCTTACTAGATAAAACAGTCCTTTCATAAACATGATATATAAAATAATATCACATTTTTTAATACTTCAATTTACTTTAAAAACTTTGTGGTCTCCCTGCTATTTGAATATCAATCTAGATTTTATTATAAAAGATCAACAGAAGATCAAATAATGTCCTTAGAAGGAGGAAAGTGGTAAAAATTTAAAGATAATATAGCTATAAACTTATTGTAATTTTAATTAAAAAAATTAATTAGAATGTATGTAACAACACTAAAATAAAAAATAAACACAAATATCTCAAAAAATTTTCCAATACTTCGGTGGCAAGACTCATGGGTATTCTAATATATTATTTAATATTCGGTACTATGTTACGAAACGAAAACATAAAAACTAGAGGAATCGATAGATTCTACGAAAAAGTCTTCTACAATGTAGAGTCTTAGTCCAAAACGAAAAAATCTGAAAGATGATTAAAATACCAAATACCAAAATAAAATACCAAAATCTGAAAGAGGATCAATTTGCAAAATGCCAAAGTTAAAACCTAATATTATAAAATATGTGAACACACTATCGTTTAGCACAAGATAAGCGGGTTATTATATCAAGTTATCATATTAGATAGCGTGAAAATGACAAGCTAAATTTAAAGAAAATAGATATTAAAAATTAGAGAGGTACTTTGAATGAAATACTCATATAGAGGAAAATTGTTATCTAGGGTAAAGGTCTTTATGGGCCGTAGAGCCAAATAATAATGATGATGGGACATCTTCCTGTGGATTCAGATTTTATTATGAATATATGTCCAAGTAGCTTATATTTTCTTCTTTATAAGTAAAACAAGGTTTTAACTTAAGTAATATTTATTGTTTTATTTACGTCTAAAGCCTTAACACAGTAATCTATATGAATGACAAAAAATTACCGTATATGCTTTGAAAAATTGCAATCCCAACAAAATTAACTAAACTTATATCATTTTATAAATACAACTACAGAAGTAGCAACAGCGGAACCTGTGTTTATAATCCGAAAGTGATGATTGGTTCTATGGACAAAGAATGCCCTTATTATCCTACACTCAAATACAAACAAGAATCAGACGGGTTGTGTTGCGCATCAGGAAAAGTGCAACTACCAGAAATTGAGAGACCGTCAGAACCATTGAACGGCTTGCTCATTGGCACGCATGAAGATTCAAATCTGTTCCTGAAGTCCATTCGCATATTTAATTCATGCTTCCAAATGACTTCGTTCGGAGCAACGGAAATAGCTCACAATACTGCAGCAAATGGCAGTACAATACAATATATTCATTATCATTTATTTAAAATAAAAATAATCAGTAGAAATAATTTATATGGCAAAACAACGTTTGCCGTGTTAAATACTAGTAATATATATAATTAAAATAAGATATCCTTCTTCAGCAGAACAGAGTTGAGGTTGCTGGTGGGATATCTACAAAATGGGTTTGTCCGAAGAGATAGAGTGTAGACTCTGCTTAAAAGCAGAGGAGACAGCCAGACACATTCTATGTGACTGCCCAGCCTTGATCCAGAAGAAGGTCACTGGGTCGGGAACTGCTTTCACCTTCTGACATTAGGAGGTACTCAACGGCAGACATTTTAGCCTTCATTCAAAAGGCAGAATATCTTCTGTTTGGTTAGGGTCTGTTGTAGAACAAAAGATCAATCATGGTGGCAGTGCTCTGCTCAAGTAGGAGCTAGTACTCCGTTCATTCTTATTATTATTATTATTATTATTATGTATTTAGGATAGGGTGGCTAAGATTCAACTAGGATCGTTGCGTCATTAATTATGATGATAATGTATTTAGGATATGTTTTGTTATTACATCACATCATAGCAAGATATTGTAAATCGTTAATATAATTTCAGTAGTCCTATCTAGATATTTGTGTTAATAAGAAAATAATAATGTGAAAAACAAATGATATTTTAATGTTTAAATAAAAAACAATACTCTAGTTTCGAATATTAATATTAATTAACAAAATTTGATTAACCTTAGAGCAAGAATTTTATTATTGATATTTTAGGTGTTATAACAACGTTATAATTGAAATTTTTAATAAATAATTCAAATATATTTTTATTTATATTCATATTTTATATTAAAATTGTTCAGTTTAAATGTTTGCCTCAAGTTCATTCAACTCTAAAGGTGAGTGTTTTTAATATTTGCGTTCGCAGATAAGAAATCGAAACGTCGCAAACACTTAACACTTTTATTATCACTTCCGGTTTTAGTTTCATTCTTCTACGTTCTACTATATTTCATTGATTTAAAATATATTGAATTTAGCAGTCTCAATAACCAATCGATAATATCAAAATAAATAATTCAATATTTATATAAACATTTTGTCATTATAATAATTGTGATTGAGATATGTAAATAAAATATAAGTTCTACATATACATAGAGGGTATTAGTTCCTCAAAAAGTTGCGCATTCAAAACTTCCAGTTGTTGATTATTGTATCTTAATTTAAAAAAAAAATATACATCATACATATATGCAATATATAGTATTGTACGTATATATAAGATTATTTTTGAAATTTCTATTTTAACTGCATGTGGTAAATTATTTTATGCTCCTAATTCCGAAAACACTTCTTTGGCCGAATATTAAGTTTTTGTTGCAGTTAAGTGCACACAAATCTAATCAACTCGGTAGGTCGCAATTCTTAAAAATACATTGTCTTCAGTAACAGTACTGATCATCATCTTTCCAAAATGCAGTTTTCTTCGAATTTTTGCATTTAATGATGCCGCTCTCTGCCTCAAAGCAACAGACAGAAACCCAAAACTAAAAGGAAGTGAAAAGATTTTTTCGAAAAATTACACACTGCCAAATTGCTACAAAAGATTTTCAAAACCAAATTACTTAACATAAAAAGAGCAAAGACCTAAGGACTTAAAGGCAAATAGATGAAAACACGAAAATGTATATAATACCACCAAATAATATTAAGGATAATAATTACCTTTTCTTTCTCAGAGACGAATAAAATTACAATTTTACTGCGAAAAATTTGAAAAATTTTAAAATTTGTTAATTTATTATAAAATTATTTAAATATTTAAAAAAAACATTAATGTGTATTATAAACATATATATAATAATAAATTCTGAAAATAATGAAAAGTAATAAAATAATTACAGATAAATAGCCACGTTTTTGAGTTCTCAATTCAAAGAGACTGACCTAAATTAGGAATAAAACTTCAAAACAGTTAAATAATTCTTTGTCTTCTTCTGTCATAGAGTCACAATCATTGTAGGATTATAGGTTGACCAATGTAGTTCTTTTGATTTTATAGTTTAGAACGTTAAAAATACTAACAAACTGAAGGATTTCAATTAAAACAAATTGAAATATAAAGTGAAATATATGTATATGGGTATCACAAAACATCATTACGAGAAGATAGATGAAAAAATACACAACCGAGTCGCAAAAACAACGAACGTATAACTGTGTATCTACGTCTTCGAATTAAGAATATTGTATCCTCCAGAAACCTGCTCAACAACCAACAAAAAACCGAGCAAAGTTTTAACTTTATATTTATAGAGTTTGAGGTATTATTTTTAGTGAAAATCAGGCGGAATAGTATAAAAAAGGATGATATTTAAAGTTAACAACGGCAATTTGACGTCTAATGTCACGTTAAGTGCCTTACTTAAGTAGTTTGGCTATGTGTGAAGATAGCCGCAGTAACATTCTGGATAAAAAGTCTGAATAAAGAACCTAATACATGTTCATAGCTAACATTTGAGGACAACATATCAGAAATAATGAGAATAATGAAAAAAAACGCCGGCAAAATAGAAGTGGTGCAAAATAGAAGTGGTGCAAAAAGGAGTGGTGCAAAACTGTCAAGAACGAAACAGATTTTAGAGACCCACCATACGCTGTAACGGAAATGAAGCAGTTTTGTAAAGAAGAAATATCGGACACTCATGACCTTTTAATAATTTTCAAGTGAGATTCACATTATATATAATGATATACATAATGATACATATTATAATACATATAATACAATAGGATATAT